GAGCGGGCCAGTGAAGGAAAGGAACCCAGAGTAAAGTTGCTGCCGCGCTCCCTGCAGCCATCGTCCTCAGCCCCTCAGAGCAGGGCCCCTCGGGTCCCCCACACTCCCGGGCAGGCCTGTGTCCCTAAGACTCCTCAGGCAATGGCTGTGTCCTCTCACATCTCAAGGACAAGCTGAGCGTGGGCAGTACAGGAAGGGTCGTGTGGCCCTGAGACCCTCCTCCTCCGGGGCAGGGTCCCACGGTCCCACCCCCTGCAGACCAGGCCACTTCTCAGGGCAGGGAATGGCCCAGAAACATCACCTGAAGGAAATATCGGTGTGGTCCCTGCTGGTGTTTGTGTCTTTATCAAAATGTCATAGTCGTAGTCAGGGTAAGAAGGAGAGAGACCTTCAACAAATGTCCCCGAATAGGGTGACACTGTGCTTCCTCCGGATTGGGGGCCTACAGGGAACCCTGGAGCCCCTAGGAGAGGTGACTGAGGCCTGGGTGGTCTGGGGTCGTCGCCACCCCCTGAAGGGAGAGGAGAAGGTGAGAGCGGCTCCAGGCCCCGCTGCACCCCCACCCGACCCACCCTGGCCTGGCAGAGCCAGGGCTGAAGTAGCAGCAGCCAGGCCAGGAGGCCCAGGGAGCCGGCTCCGGCGGACGCCATGGTTCGGCAGGCAGCCTCGGCCTCCTCGTGACGCCCCCTCGCTGCGGCTCCGCCCCTGCCCTGGTTTCCGGCGGGAACCCGCGGCTCCTGCGAGGGACGGGGGCGGGGCGGGGGTAGAGCCACAGACCCGATGGTAGAGGGAAGACTGGAGCGGGATCGGCGGGGGTGGCGCCTGGCAGAACTCAGCTGCGGAGTCTTGACTCTGAAGTCTTCTCTCTTCCTGGCGCCTGGTTCCAAGTGGACTCAGCTCCCCCCCCACACACCTCATTAAGGGAGCGCCTCTTGGACCCTCCAAGTCTCCTGGCCTGTGTTCCCCCCCACCCAGCAGAGAGCAGCAGCGGCCTAGCCCCCTGCTCCCACAGAAACACACACAACTCCCTGTGGCATGCCGAGCTTCCACAAGCTCTGGCTAGGCCTAGGCGTTCCCAGAATCTCCCTCCCCCTCTTGTTACCAATAAAATTAAAACTCCTTAACATAAATGTTGCACTTAACATTACTAACCACTGCATTAGAGATCACTGCTACCTTTCTGAAAATCAACATCCACGTGAAAAGAGGTTCTATGTAATTAGCCATTAGCAAAATGCAAATTAAAACCTCAGGAGGTACCATTACACACCTACCAGATTGCCTAAGATCAAAAATAGCGACGACACCAAATGCTGGCACGGATGCAGATATTGGATCACTCACACACTGTGGTGAGAATGTAAAATACTACAGCCACTCTGGAAAACAGATTTTCAGTCTCTTATAAAACTAAATATGCAATTACCAAACAATCCAGTAATTATACTCCTAGGCATTTATCCCAGAGAAGTGTAGATTTATATTCACACATACAAGCCAGTACAAATGTTTGCAGTATCATTCTTCGTAATGGCTGAGACCTGGAAACAACCCTGTAGTAGACAAAGTTATGGCCCCTCAGCGATGCGCACATTCCAATCCCTGAACCTGTGAGCATGTTCCCTTACATGGCACACAGAATGTGAGTAAATTAAGGATCTTGAGATGGGAGATGCTTCTGGATTATCTTCATGGGCCCAGTGTAATCAACAAGCATCCTAGCGGGAGCCAGGAGAGCCAAAGTCAAAGAGATGTGATGCCCCAAGCAGAGATCAGAGAGAGAGATTTGAAGATGTTACTTGCTGACCTTAAAGACGGAGGAAGGAGCCTAGGAATCCAGGCAGCCTCTAGAAACTGGAAATGGCAAAGAAACAAAATCTGCCCTAGAGCCTCCAGAAGGAATGCAGTTGGCCAACACCTTGATTTTAGGATGTCTGACCTCCAGAACTGCAGGATAATAAGTTTGGGTTGTGTTAAGCCACTACATTTGTGGTAAATTGTTACAGCTATTATAGGAAATTAATATAAACCCAGATGTCCTTCAAAGGGTCAGTGATAAATTGCTGTTTAACCCATATCAAAGAATACTCCTCAGCAAAAGAAAGAATGAACTATCAATCCCTGGAACAACTTGGATGAATTTCCTGGGAATTATGCTGAATGAAAAAACCCAATCCCAAAAGGTTACATGCTGTATAATTCCATTTATATAACATTTTTGAAAAGGCAAAATTTTAGAAATGAAAAACTAATCTGTGGTTGCCCAGATTTAGGGAGGCACCTCTGGAGGTAGGTGTGGTTTTAAAAGTACACCACAAGGAATTGTCTGGTCATGAAATTGTTTTGTGTCTTGACTATGGGAGTATGTACCTACACATGTGATCAAATAGTAGAGAACTATACCTACATATTGACTAATACATCTTCCATAAATTTAGCACAAGTAAAACTAGAGAAATCTGAATTAGATAGATTGTATCAACTTCAATATCCTGGTTGTGATATGGTGCAATAGTGCTTTTCAGGATATTAACATTGGGAGGTATTATGTAGATGGTAGAGGAGATCTCTCTGTATTATTTCATACAATTGCATGTACATCCCCAGTTATCTCAAAACGTAAAAAAAATTTAAGTACACCCATCACAAAAAATGGAAATTTTATTTAATTTTATTTTCATTGTCTAATCTTGGCCTCAAAATCTTGACTTTATAAGCCAAATAACATATCTGCTGTATGTACATACATAGGAACATATTATTATTATTATTATCATAAAAGCAAGCTATTTTCATTGTGGAAAAATAAGAAAAATCAGATAAGCAAGAAGAAGATTGATAGAAGAAATTTTAAAACAGAAAATCATTAATATTTACTAACAAAGTTATCATTTCTGGCCCACTTCAATTCTTTGGGCAGACCCAAGCTTCCATCTGGTCTCATTTTCCTTCAACCTAAAGAACTTTCTTTGTTTGTTTGTTTCTTTCTTCTTTTTTGCAGTTTTTGGCCGGGACTGGGTTTGAACCCACCACCTCCAGCATATGGGGCTGGCGCCCTACTCCTTTGAGCCACAGGTGCCACGCTAAAGAACTTTCTTTAAAACTCCTTGAAGTCCAAGAAGGAATTCACTCACCTTTGCTTTATAAAAGCCTTTGTTTCATTGACTTTCTTTACTTTTCACATTTGAAGATGATGCTCTGATTTGCATTGTTTCAGGAACAGAAGTCTGCAACATTCTTTTTTTTTTTTTTTTTGAGATTATAAACTACTTTATTTAATAAAGAGTTCAAATTGTATGTCTGCAACATTCTTATCTTTGTTCCTCTGTAAATCTCTTCCCAGCTGTTTTTAAACTGTCACTGAATTTTGAATAGCAATTCCATCCTATGTTTTCCAGTATGGTTTTCTGTGTGTTTACTCCGTGTATTTACGTTCACTGTGCTTCCTGAATCTGTAGCTTTTAGCTTTCATCAAATTTGGAAAATGTTTTGGTACTAATTATTCAATTATTTTTGCTCCCGCTGTTTTCTTCTGTCCTGCTATAAATCCAATTTTTCACATGTCAGACCACTTGCTTATGACCTGCCGCTCAAATTATGAGGCAATATTTTTTTCAATTTTTTAGGTCAGTGCTTCAGTTTGGATCATCACCATTGCTATGCCTTCAGTTTCATTAATATTTTCTTCTGCATTGTTTGTCTAATCTGTAGTTAAACCCATATAGTTAATTTTTCATTTCATCTTATATCATATTTTTTACCGCTAACACTTCCATGTGGCTCTTTTTATATCTTTAGTTTTTCTCCCTAATTATGTTCGTGCACTTATTTATTTATTTAGAGACAAAGTCTCACTCTGTTGCCTGGACTAGAGTGCCAAGGCATCAGCCTAGTTCACAGCACCCTCAAAATCCTTGGCTCTAGCAAGCCTGTCTCAGCGTCCTGAGTACCTCGGACTACAGGCACCCACTACAACACCCTAATACTTCTTCTATTGTTAATAGAGTCAGGGTCTCACTCTTGCTTAGGCTGGTCTCAAATTCCTAAGCTTAAGCCATCCTCCTGCCTTAGGCCTCTCAGAGAGTTAGGATTACAGGTGTGAGTCACCACACCTGGCGCTTTCTTTTAAATCCTTGAGCAAAGTTATAATATTAATAATAGGCATTTTAAAGTCTCAGTCTACTATTAATAATTTCATCATCTCTGTCGTTTCTGTATCTGTTGCTACTGACTTCCAGTTACAGGTCACAATTTGCTGCTTTCTTATATATCTAATAACTTTTAATGAATTTCAAACACTGCAAATTTTACTCTGTGACCTATTTTAATTGTACCATCTTTCTTTAAGAAATGCTGGGATTTGGCAAATAGCTAAATTACTTGCAGTTCATCTTAATCCATTTGAGGTTGATTTTTTAAGTTAGTCTAGAGCAGCCTTTATGCTAGGGCTACCTTAGTCCTGATATTGAGGTATGATCCTTCTAGGGTCTCTACTGATTGCCCAAAAATTCAATGAGGTCTCTCTTCTATGGGTGAATAAAATATAGATGTCTCTCAGCTCTAATAATTGTTCAGCTTATAGCTCTCTGGCATTTGTTCTTTGCCTAACCTCCTATAAATTTGCCCTATGCATGTGTAAATTAATATTCAGTCAATGACTAGCAGGGATTTCCCTGTAAATTTCTGGAACTCCTTCTCAGCGTATCTCCATCCTATATAGGAACAGGCAAACTTCCAGCTAGATAGTAAATATTTTAGGCTTTGCAGGCCATACATGGTCTCCGCCGCATATTCTTTTTTTGTTTGTTTGTTTTATTTTTTGTTTTTTTGTTTGTTTTGTTTTTTGTTTTTTAGACACAGTCTCACTTTGTCACCCTCCATAGAGTACTGTGGCAACACAGCTCACAGCAACCTCCAGCTCTTGGGCTTAGGCAATTCTCTTGCCTCAACCTCCTGAGTAGCTGGGACTACAGGTGCCCACCACAACGCCTGGCTATTTTTTTGTTGCAGTTTGGCCAGGGTTTGAACCCACCACCCTCAGTATATGGGGCCAGCGCCTTACTCACTGAGCCACCAAATACCCCTGAATATTCTTTTTTTAAAACAACTCTTTATGGCTTGGTGCCCATAGCACAGTGGTTACAACATCAGCCACATGCACTGAGGCTGGTAGGTTCTAACCCAGCCCAGGCCAGCTAAACAACAATGACAACTGCAAGAAAAAAACAGCTGAGCATTGTGGCAGGCACCTGTAGTCCCAGCTTTTTGGGAGGCTGAGGCAAGAGAATAGCTTAAGCCCAAGAGTTGGAGATTGCTGTAAGCTGTAACGCCACAGCACTCTACCAAGGGCAACATAGTGAGACTCTGTCTCAAACAAAAAAAAGTAAAAAAATTAAAAAAAAAACTTTAAAAATGTATAAATCATTCTTATTGTAGGCCTGTATAAAAGTAGGCTGTCTCAAATTGGCCCACAATCAATTTGCTAATCTGTGTTCTACAGTATTCTGACCTTCAAACTCCAGATACTTAGCCTTCCTGATATCCAATCTCTGTCTCCTTAACTTAATAATATTGTGTTCTGTTTGGATTCCCTCTCTGTGCTATCTGAAAATTGTCACCACATAGGAAGCAAGTATAATTATGAAATTCA